CTAATTCAAACATCAATTCTATCGATCTGTTTTTGAACATTATTCCCGGCGTATCGCATTTAAATGTCTGATAGCTCTTAAGCCAATTAGGTTAATCCGTGTACAAACGCGTGTACAATTTCAATAAGTCGATACGCGAATGATGCTGCGCCGATCATCGTTGCTCTTCAGCCAAATATTTATACGAACGCAGCTTGGCGGGATGCGGAAACGCGCAGCACAAATTGGTAGATAGAATTGTGTGGGCCGCAGCAATTGCGTTACATAGTTTATCACACCTCGCGGCGTTAACTCGCAGCCACGTATCCACCAGGGATTTCGGCACGGCGCGTGCATAACTCGTGCGTTTTAACAATTACAAATCTGGACGTGTGGATTCGATAGCGATGCGCCACGCGAAAGATACTTATTGTTAGTTACGTTGCGGCGTCGTTTCGGTACTGCCGGTGCGAGTGCGGATGTAAAGAGCGTGCGATATCGACGTGAAGAAATCGCGAAAATGGATAATTGCATTGATAATCATGCTGGAGCGAAATGTGGAGATTTTATCGTACTTGATTGCAATAATTCGCAGATTACGACTGCATTGAAAATTTTCTCTCGGCACGTTTTCACGAGAGAAAATCGCACATGTGGGTAATATGCTTGATCAACAAATCGATTGCGTGTTATCGAGAAATATAATTTTTGCCTCGTGTAATTCTTTCGTGTCCTTCAAATTTTGAAACAGCGCGATATAAAGAATAAAAAACTGAAAAATTTCGGCCAATATTCAATTCAAAATAAACAAACAATATTTGAAATGTAATTATTATATTAAATGACGAAATTTTATGTGTAGTCTGTACGCAAAAAAAAGTATAGACACCGAAAGAACGCCAGGGACGCCCACTGGCTGCTCGAGAGCAGGCGATAATTGCATTGCTAATAGCGCGACGGGGTTGGCGGGGACTTACATAGTTTATATCGCACTTTATTGCTTTACCATGGCCATCGTACCCTCTGGGCATTTTCTGAAATGGACGCGTGTGTAGTTTGCGCTCTTCATCCTGAAGCTTAACGCTCAACGTGCAAAGACGATAACGACATAACACGCGTGGGGGCATAATATAGATATTAGATAAACGGGTCCCGCTTTACGAGCCATCATTGCCATGATTTCTTGTCCTCGTAGTTTCTCAACGTTAAATTCAATATCGTAACTTTGTTCTTTGACTTCAATAATTAATTAATTGCCCTTCCCGCAACAAACCGCAGTAATCGAAAAGTTAAACATTTATTTCAGAAAGTAGAATTTATTTTTTACAGTAATATATTTTAATATATTTTAAAAGTAATATATTTTAACAGTAATATATTTTAACTCTCTTTCCTCATATGTGAACTTTAATACAAGTAATTTAACACGAGTGTTTATAATCTTTTTTTTGAAACGTTTCTATAACATTTGTGCAAATTTTCAAGTGTATAATATTTTATATTTTAAAAACTGAAACAATTGTACTAAATAAAAATCCATTGATCCATCCGCGTCCAGAATTATCTGATACAAGCTGAATTCATAGAACATGATGTGATAAAAGTAAAAGATAACGTAAATAATAAATATAAAAGCATGTTCATATTACAAAAATTCTCAGCAATATGATAAAACTTAATGGAATTGATAATATCTTCTTTTTAATTTTTATAGAGATCGTAATTGCGACATCAATCACGAAAGCAGAGTGCAAAAATATCTCCGATCGATAGTAAGAACACGCAAGTGAGTAATTATTGAGAATCAAATAAAACCCTGTTAAAGATTGATTTGCCCCCAATTTGTCAGATAAAATATATTACTGCGTATGTATTCCGAACTTAAATCTATATAGGACGTGGGTTATAAACATGCAAAAAAGCTTACGGTGTACTTAGCGGTGATGATGTAATCATTTTCAGACTACCGTATTAAAGACTTATTCGCATCGTGTATTTATTTATTTATTCCCAAAACGCGTACCAGGATTGACGTTTGAGCGTAACATAATACGCTTTACCCGTTTCGAAAAGGTTTATCTCCCGCAGCTGCGCGCGATTAAATAATACAGTTTTACTGAATAACTAAATATTCACCAGGATGTTTTCCCTCGCTTGGTCTATCTGCATACGCCTCTGTAGAAACATGATAGGACCACTAAACTCTTCATAAATCGGATTATCGGAGGAACACAAAATTGTTAAATCGATAAGACGTTTACGCGGCTTTTCCTAGTTTATTGCTCGCATTTCCCGACGCACTTCGCTCGACCGCCTGCGCAGACACAAGCGTCTACGTAATTGATGAAAATTTACTTCGAATTTCTTCGAATCGGCAAACGTCTGTAGATCCGTTATCTACGCGAGACGTCGATGCCGGGACTCATGGGACTTCGGACTGACTCGAAGAAAAACGTACGGCAGAAGAACATCCTCGTACCAAAAATTACTTTTCGTGTTGAACTCCGGCTGCATTACAAATACGCCAGTCTCCTCTTGTAAAAGTGCTTCAAAGTTCCGACTCGTAGACAAGAGATCTCGAAACATCGAAAACTCGTAGAATCGTTTTCTAAGTTCGTACAAGGAAAATTCTTCACTCGTAGCAAATGTGTAATTCGGCGCAAACTATTGCAGCGTTAAATATTTAATCGAGCGTATCAATATTTAAAAATTCTTGATGGATAGAAACATAGATTAAAATTCGCCATTAATAATAGTGTAATATGTAAGATATATTAATATTGCGTATAAAATCGTCTGCAATTTGTAAATTTATTATCATAAATAATTTTTCAAACACAATTATGTCATGTTCTCTCGCATTTACGGCGACTAAAGTAGACAATCTAAAAAATATCGCAATAGTAACGTGTGACAGATTTCCGATGTGTCAAATAAAATATATCAATAAATCGCAATGCGATGACATGAACTGAAAATAAGAGAAGACTTGACATACCTTTGTGATGTTTATTGATGCTTATCACTTGGCCGTCTTCTCGCTTCCACATTAATTTCGGCTGTGGATATCCGTCCGCCTTGCATGTAAGAGTAATATTCTGATTTTCTCGAACTGCCACAGTGCTCTCGGTAGAAAGCGAATCCAATATATTTGGTGGCACTGAAACACATTTGGTAGTTTTTTTTCAAGATTTATAGCGCATTATTATAAAATTAATATATGTTTAACATTCTTCTTAATGCACATTGTTTATATTTTTTATTTTAAATTTTTATCATAGCAAATATGTGTTTGCAAAATTAAATTTGGAACAAATTATTTAATTCAAATTAAACAATATTTACCAACGACTTGAAGAAAGCCCACTTGACTTATCATGGGGTTAGTGTTTACTTGGCACATATAATAACCCCGATCGTCTTGTTGAACGCTACTAATGTGAAGCAACCAAGTTTTCTGATTGTCATGTGACACAGAAAACCTGGGCACTTTCACGACCACATGTTTGTGAACGGTGAGTAGCATTTGACGACCCACATGTATCCACGCCACCTGAAAGCAAGAATAAAACAGATATTTGAATATATATATCTGGTTAAAATCAAACTTGTGTTTTAAATTTAATGTTGTTATTTTGCAAGTAGCCAAGATAAATATTTAATATAAAATGCACAAATAATGAAAGATTTGCAAAAACATATGAGACATTTTGTTTTATATTTGCATTCAATTTAAGAATAAAACATTTTTCTCTTATGATAAAGATCACATTTGTAAACGCTTAAACAATCTAAACCTTCGTAAAATGCTTGCTAATTAAACACACATTATGCAAGTTCACGTTTAATCCTCCAAAATTCAAGACTTGACGTTGACAGTAAAGTTAAACTACGTTCACGTTGAAAATTTCAATGTCCTTCCTATAGCTTCAGTAGACACGAGCTCATAAAGTCAAGAGGCAGCTGTCCGTTTATCGTGCTACATTCGTGCGTAAAATATTCCCACATTAGCACATTGTCGGAATCGCATCGTCTTATAGTTGAATATTCCGCTACAACGAAATATTTTCCTCTTTTCGAAACTCGCAAATGTACCTATTGCAGCATCCGCGCGATGCAAGCTTTATGACTAATCTCGAATTCGTTTTACGATTCCATTTTTATCAATGAAACGAACGTGAAATCCAAACCGATTACAAGTGGCATCACCGACCGGCGAAAAGAGAAAGAAAAGATCGCGGCGCGTTGCTACGCGCGATCACCGCGAACGAACATTATTACGCCGGTATTTTACGCTTCACCGAGGTAACTCGCTCCTAACTAAGCTCATTTCGCGACAAAGCTTATGCACTTTCAAGGATTTCTGAGTTAACCTGCTTCTCCCAAACCTTCTCGTTTCTTCTCGCCACGGATTTGAGGCAACGCCCGGTTGCGCAACGGCGCCCATTGTTTCTCATCTTTTTGCTCTTAGCTCTTTTTTAAGTATATTTCCTGGTAAGCGAGACAGCAACTCCGTCCGGCTTGGTTGCTTTTATCCTGGACACATTCTCTTTCTTGTCTACCTGTTAAGCGCGATTTTACTCCTCAAGAGAATAAGGAGCGGAACAAAATATCTCCAAAAAAAAAATTAATGAAAGTCTAAATAAGAGAGATATCTAAAATTGGAAGAATGAAAAGTTTCAGTGCGCCGAGAGAATAAGAATTAATATGAATGAAGTAAGCGAGACAAACGCGCATTTGTCTTACTTATTTAATCCATATTAATCTCGTACCTGTATTATGATATTCGCAATTTTGTACAATGATTCTCTCTTTTTCGGAGACTCGCTATTACTCGTTTCCTTTTTAGATTCGTTATCGCTGCTTGGCAACATCTGGATTCGCGGAAATGGCGCTTCTTCCGCTTTTTTACTCTCTCTTTTTCTGGCATATATATACTTCCTCAAATTAAACCAGAAACGCCCGTTCGGACAGGGTAAATTGTATCATTTTTTTTTCTACTTTTTCTTCTCCTTCAACTTCTCCTTTGCAATAGAAAAATTTCGCAATAGCGCAAAAAACATTACAACGGAGAACGTAAATAGCGTGTAATTAGATTTACGGCCGCAGCTTGCTCCTCTTTAGGCATAACTATCCAATGAGATGTAATTTCGTTTGGCATTACTCGACAAACGAATTATGCTTAATCGACTTATCTGAATCTAAATCCGACGAGACATTTACATTTAGAAGTTACTGTTTCCTGTTTCTACTCCATCCTGAATTCTTTTTCCCTCAGGTATTTCACCTAGAAACTCGGCAACAACTCCGTCTAGAATTGTTCGCCTATGTACCGCTTCTCCTTTCCGTCGACACTCGGGTAAGCAAAAGTTTCAGGTACGGAAATCACAGTACATCCTGGGAAAGTTCTTTAAACAGTCAGACGCCAGTGACGGCTCTCCTAACGAAGAGCTGAGAAGATGGATGGTGGCGGATCTCTGAAGATCTTGTCTGCCAACGGGATTTGCCGGTTTCCGAGGATCTCCGAACTCGTCAGATTCTGTTTCAACTTGCATGTAATTCTGAGATCCGCTACGCGAAGATGCGGTCGCAGCGGTAGCTTTCGGCAGATTTTCCTATGTCGCATTCGTGAAGAAAAAGAAAAAAAATGGAAGATCTTTCAAGAGGAGAAATATAGCAGCCGCAAAAGTTTCGAGATGCATAACGCGGGATCGCTATCGCTATCGGGTAATTTTAATCGGCTCCCTCGCTATTATCAGTTCCATCCAGATAATTTACAAATCGATTTCCTTCCTCTCGCAGTGTCGAGATTAAATTGACCATTATATAATATTATATAACAAACTTTCGCGATTAATAAGTTTTATGTTACGTACATCTCTCGGAGTGCAATTTTCACGACGGTTTATAAGACCCGCCGAGAAGAGACCGGCGTACTGAGAAAGTTGCCTCCTCCTCCTCCTCCTCCTCCCAGAATCTCCTAGAAAAGTCACCGTAGCGCGATACGAGAAACTTTCGTAGTCACGCACCGCGGATGGCTCCTAAGTTCTAACGAAGAGGAAAGAAGCCGCCACGACGTCCACGTGCAGGAAGATGAGTGCCCGCTTAGATAAATGTGTTTGCCTGAGTCTTTTGAAAATTAAATCCGCGACAATATACAAACGACGTTGTTGCAGCAATATAAACTGACGCGTAGCAGTAAATAACATCTGCATTGAGTGCAGTCGCGATAAAGTTATGCTTGTAGCGAAATAACGTGCAATAACTTCTGGTTTAACTGTCAGGCAAGAATGCATCTTAAAAAGAAATGTTTCTTTATGACACGGCGTTATATCAGTCTTGAACAATCTCGAGAAGAAATTCTCGCCACTTATAAGCTCGATTGAAAACTCTGGCAATGGTTCAAAGCCAGTCTCGATTGGATATCCCGCCGGTAAAAAAAAACACCTTTCTATCGAACGTGAAATGTTACCGCAAAGTAAACGTTGCGATCACAATTTCAATTAACAGCATGTTTTAACAGTTTCGTTTAACATTGGTGCACTCCATTTACACCGAGAAATACATTAATGGACTTAGATTTTCACACGATTAGCGCGGTGCCGCTGAGAGGCGATTTGATCGATCGCTTATAGGCGAATCAAGTGGAAGCGTGTTGCGCTGCATAAACAATTAATTAACGTTGTGCGAAATCGCGAACAATAAGAACAAAAAGAGTAAAAGTTGCACGAAAGACCTCAAACAAACAACACGCATCCGCATCTTTGTGTATTTTATTACATTAACAATTATGCAACGAAATAATATTCGCGTAGTGATAATTTTAATAACGATTTTATACGAGGCTGTAAAGTGTATGATATTTACAGATCCATATGGGAGCGTATAAAAAAATATCGAAGAACGGTCATCTAAATTATAACAAATCTAGTAACCATGACAGGTTATACAATTGTACGATATGGGTATGAAGTTTTTTTACAATTATACCTACGTATGATTTATCTAACTAGCACGAAGCGAAGATAGAGATTCTGTTTGCACATATCGGTATCTATTGACAGTACGATGGATGATTCAATGCAATCTAGATTCACGCGTTCACCGCTCGCTTCGTTCACTTTTATGCTTAACCTCGCACCCGAGAGCTCGTTTTATATACGGATTTTTCGGCGATCGATTGACAGCCCGAAAGCTGATAAGAGGATACGCGATAATTAAAATATAGAAACCGTAACGCAACCTCCATACCGTAAAATGATTTCGGTTTTCTGTTGAATGCAATCTGCTTTCGCGATATCGACGGCTGCTCTATTTACGCATATAAATCCATATTTATGTGTTATTTCTAACCAATACCAAATTTCCAAGTCAAAACCGAAAGTAAACAAGACTGGAATAATTCATAACAACTGAAACTTAATGTGGCAACGATTCTATAAAAGCCACCGTATATAAAAAAGAATTTGTATCAAAATTTTGTTTAAGACACAATTATTAACATAATTAGAATTTGGGATGTCTGTTACACTAATTAATAGAATCTTTATACATACATGTGTGTATATATATATATATATGTATATATATGTATATAAACTAATACACATATTTTCAAATATTACGGAAATGCAATATTGTTCACTTGAAGCAAACGTAAGTTTTGCAAGAATTGTAAATATATCCGCCAACTATTCAGAAACTGCATATGTCTAGATAAGACAAGATAAATATAATCGTACTACGGAAAGGTGAATATTTGCACATTGATAAGTGAACAATGCAAACATGAGTTTGAACTAGTTTCAGTCTTCAGTCTTCAGTCTTTCATATAACAATATCCAAGTGACATTGTGTCGAAAAATATTTTATATTGCGTAATAATAAAAGTAGTAAATAAAATTATTCCATTGGATTTTATAAAGTGTGCAGTCATATTTGGTAAGTCGTGTTTTATATTTTAAAAAATATGAAAAAAATAATTCTCCTACATATATGTTTATGTTAGTTACATATATAATCTACATTACATTTAAGCATAATTATTCAGCGTTAGTTGTAAGTCTACATTATATTGAAGCATATTTATCCAGCGTATAACGTTGTACTGTCGTAATTTCTTACATTTCTTCTTTTCTAAATAATTAGTACTGTTTTTTCATACTTTTGCAATATTCTGTCCTCAATGCAGGCTAAAGAAATCATATTTAAATAATAATGGCGTAACTAAAATTTTTAAATGCTGAACATTATCGTACGTGCATTTATTATATTCGATATCGCAAAAATATCCTATTAACTTTAACGTTTTTGCGATATCTTTCATTGTAAAAAAAAAACTTATCCAATATTAGACGTCAATATTTCAAGCAAAGTCAAATTAAATTGTTGGTAGCGTTTGGCACGTAGGAAATGTCGTTATGGCAAGATGTTGGACGTTTGGCACGAGCCGCATCCCCTTCCCTCTTCCCCCTTCCCGGTTGTTCGTCGTTCAATTTCGATGGTTCAACTTGCCGTCGCCGCGTCGAGGAATTAACGTGAAATACATCGTGA